TGAATACCCTTTATTTCTTTTTCTTGCCTGATTGCTCTGGCTAGAACCAGTACTATATTGAATAGGAGTGGTGAAAGAGGGCATCCTTGTCTAGTGCCAGATTTCAAAGGGAATGCTTCCAGTTTTTGCCCATTCAGTGTGATATTGACTGTTGGTTTGTCATAAATAGCTTTTATTACTTTGAGATACGTTCCATCGATACCGAGTTTATTGAGGGATTTTAGCATAAAGGGCTGTTGAATTTTGTCAAATGCCTTCTCTGCGTCAGTTGAGATAATAATGTGGTTTTTGTTTTTGGTTCTGTTTATGTGGTGAATTACGTTTATAGACTTGTGTATGTTGAACCAGCCTTGCATCCCCGGGATAAATCCTACTTGATCATGATGGATAAGTTTTTTGATTTGCTGTTGCAATCGGCTTGCCAGTATTTTATTGAAGATTTTTGCGTCTATGTTCCTCATGGATATTGGCCTGAAGATTTCCTTTCTTGTTGGGTCTCTGCCGGGTTTTGGTATCAGAATGATATTGGTCTCATAAAATGATTTGGGAAGGATTCCCTCTTTTTGGATTATTTGGAATAGTTTCAGAAGGAATGGTACCAGCTCCTCTTTGTGTGTCTGGTAGAATTCGGCTGTGAACCCATCTGGACCTGGGCTTTTTGTTGTGTGGTAGGCTCTTAATTGCTGCCTCGACTTCTGACCTTGTTATTGGTCTATTCATAGTTTCGGCTTCCTCCTGGTTTAGGCTTGGGAGGACACAGGAGTCCAGGAATATATCCATTTCTCCCAGGTTTACTAGTTTATGGGCATAGAGTTGTTTGTAATATTCTCTGATGATGGTTTGAATTTCTGTGGAATCTGTGGTGATTTCCCCTGTATCATTTTTTATTGCATCTATTTGGTTGTTCTCTCTTTTCTTTTTAATCAATCTGGCTAGTGGTCTGTCTATTTTGTTGATCTCTTCAAAAAACCAGCTCTTGGATTTATTGATTTTTTTGAAGGGTTCTTCGTGTCTCTGTCTCCCTCAGTTCAGCTCTGATCTTAGTTATTTCTTGTCTTCTGCTGGGTTTTGAGTTGTTTTGATCTTGCTCCTCTAGCTCTTTCAATTTTGACGATAGGGTGTCAATTTTGGATCTCTCCACTCTCCTCATATGGGCACTTATTGCTGTATATTTTCCCCTAGAGACTGCTTTAAATGTGTCCCAGAGATTCTGGCATGTTGTGTCTTCGTTCTCATTGGTTTCGAAGAACTTCATTTCTGCCTTCATTTCATTGTTTATCCAGTCAACATTCAAGAGCCAGTTGTTCAGTTTCCATGAAGCTGTGCAGTTCTGGGTTGGTTTCTGTATTCTGAGTTCTAACTTGATTGCACTATGGTCTGAGAGACTGTTTGTTATGATTTCAGTTGTTTTGCATTTGCTGAGGAGTGCTTTACTTCCAATTATGTGGTCAATTTTAGAGTAGGTGTGATGTGGTGCTGAGAAGAATGTATATTCTGTGGATTTTGGGTGGAGAGTTCTGTAAATATCTATCAGGTTTGCTTGCTCCAGGTCTGAGTTCAAGCCCTGGATATCCTTGTTGATTTTCTGTCTGGTTGATCTGTCTAATATTGACAGTGGAGTGTTAAAGTCTCCCACTATTATTGTGTGGGAGTCTAAGTCTCTTTGTAAGTCATTAAGAACTTGCCTTATGTATCTGGGTGCTCCTGTATTGGGTCCATATATGTTTAGGATCGTTAGCTCTTCTTGTTGTATTGATCCTTTTACCATTATGTAATGGCCTTCTTTGTCTCTTTTGATCTTTGTTGCTTTAAAGTCTAGGTTATCAGAGACGAGAATTGCAACTCCTGCTTTTTTTGTTCTCCATTTGCTTGGTAAATCTTCCTCCATCCCTTTATTTTGAGCCTTTGTGTATCCTAGCATGTGAGATGGGTTTCCTGGATACAGCACAGTGATGGGTTTTGGATTTTTATCCAATTTGCCAGTCTGTGTCTTTTGATTGGTTCATTTAGTCCATTTATGTTTAGGGTTAATATTGTTATGTGTGAATTTGATACTGCCATTTTGATGCTAGCTGGCTGTTTTGCCCGTTAGTTGTTGTAGATTCTTGATTATGTTGATGCTCTTTAGCATTTGGTGTGATTTTGGAATGGCTGGTACTGGTTGTTCCTTTCTATGTGTAGTGCCTCTTTCAGGAGCTCTTGTAAAGAAGGCCTGGTGGTGACAAAATCTCTGAGTACTTGCTTGTTCGCAAAGGATTTTATTTTTTCTTCACTTATGAAGCTCAGTTTGGCTGGATATGAAATTCTGGGTTGAAAGTTCTTTTCTTTAAGGATGTTGAATATTGGCCCCCACTCTCTTCTGGCTTGTAGTGTTTCTGCTGAGAGAACTGCTGTGAGTCTGATGGGCTTCCCTCTGTGGGTGACCCGACCTTTCTCTCTGGCTGCCCTTAGTATTTTCTCCTTCATTTCAACCTTGTTGAATCTGACGATTATCTGCCTTGGGGTTGCTCTTCTTGCAGAATATCTTTGTGGTGTTCTCTGTATTTTCTGCATTTGAGTGTTGGCCTGTCTTGCTAGGTGGGGGAAATTTTCCTGGATAATGTACTGAAGAGTATTTTCCAGCTTGGATTCATTCTCTCCGTCACATTCTGGTACACCTATCAAACGTAGGTTAGGTCTCTTCACATAGTCCCACATTTCTTGGAGACTTTATTCATTCCTTTTTGCACTTTTTTCTCTGATCTTGGTTTCTCGTTTTATTTCATTGAGTTGATCTTCGACTTCTGATATTCTTTCTTCTGCTTGGTCAATTCAGCTGTTGAAACTTGTGCATGCTTCGTGAAGTTCTTGTATTGTGTTTTTCAGCTCCTTTAATTCATTCACATTTCTTTCTAAGGTATCCATTTCCTCGAATCTTTTTTCAAATCTTTTTTCAAGATTCTTAGTTTCTTTGCATTGATTTAAAACATGTTCTTTTAGCTCACAAAAGTTTCTCATTATCCACCTTCTGAAGTCTAATTCTGTCATTTCATCACAGTCATTCTCTGTCCAGCTTTGTTCCCTTGCTGGTGAGGAGTTTTGGTCCTTTGTAGGAGGCAAGGTGTTCTGGTTTCGGGTGTTTTCCTCCTTTTTGCACGGTTTCTTCCCATCTTTGTGGATTTATCCACCTGTCGTCTGTGTAGTTGCTGACTTTTCGATTGGGTCTCTGAGTGATGCCCAGATTGTTGATGATGAAGTATTTCTGTTACTTGGTTTTCCTTCTACCAGTCTAGCCCCTCCACTGTACGACTGCTGAGGTCCACTCCAGGCCCTGCTTGTCTGGGGTGCACCTATATAGCAGCTGTGGAACAGTGAGGGATGCTACCAGTTTCTTTTTCTGCTATCTTTGTCCCAGAATGATGCCTGCCAAATGTCAGCCTTCTGGATATACAGCGGTCAGGGAGCTCCTTGGGGAGATGGTCTGTACTTTATAGGAGCTCAAGTGCTGAGCTGTGAGCTCTGTTGTTCATTCAGGGCTGTTAGGCTGCTACGTTTAATTCTGCTGCAACAGAACTCATAAAAAAAAAAAAAAAAACACCTTTTTTTCTCAGATGCTCTGTCTCGGGCGGGTTGGGGCTTTCTTTGTGAGTGTCCATTGTGCTGTCCTGCCCAGCTAGGAGAGTGTCTAGTCACTATTTGCCTGCCGAGGCTCTGCCCTGCTGGTGTGATGTTCACCCTGTTGCTGCAGGCTCTGCCCTTCTGCAGCGGTCTCTGCCCTGCTGCCACAGGGTACGCCCTGCGGCAGAGTCTCTCTGTTGTAGCGGGTTGCCTCGGCAATGGCAGGCTGCGTCAGCAATGGGCATGCACCTCAGTAGGGGCGGATTGCCTCGGTAATGGTGGACGACCCTCCCCGACGGAGCTGCACCATACTGGGTTCAGCTGTGCCCTAAGGGAACCTCTCCAACGGGAGTGTTTGGAATCTCCATTTTGTTTGTCCCTCTGCACTACCCCAAACGCTGTTTTCCTGGAATCTCCTGGGCTGGCTCACTGTCCAAGTCCCATTCAGTCTCAAGTTCAGCCCTCTCAATTCTCAGATTGCCAGTTCAACAGGGCACCCGGGCCAGTGCACTTTGTGTGGTGTGCTGTGTAGCACCACTGCACTACAGCACCGGCCGCCGGCCGCACCGGCTGCCAGCTGTACCAGCCAAAACCTCTGCCTGGTGTCCTGCATCTCTTTTATACCTGGGAATTTCCCCGTTCTGTGGGCAACAAAGATCCGTGTGGAAATGCGACCCTGACTCGCCCTCTCCGCGCATTCACCGAGAGCTTCAATCCTGGGTTGTTCTCACTGCGCCATCTTGAGTCCTCTCAAGAAATTTTAAAACTGTGTTTAATCTGTTTGATTTGATATCAACAGTTACTTAACTATGTTTCAGTTACAGTTTAGCAATATTAATGTATTTGTTAAACTCCTTTGTAAAGTCAGTCTACCTTTCATATGGCTATTGGATACATACTTTCCATAGCTATTGTGTTCAATATCCCATTTTTATTATTGCATACAGAAGTTAAATTAGTCCATATCAATTCTGCATTTCAACCAAGCCTTTCCTTTACTCATAATTAAGACAAGAGGGTTTTCTGAATGCTCTCTGGATAATTAAATGCTCATGCTGTAGTTGGTTCTGTTAGTCAAGATACATTTAACAGAAGTATCTACAAGAATTCCCTTTTATCTGTACTGTGCTATTTCTGGAGGGCCACCAAAGAAATTACAGTCCCTAAGTTAACTGTTTTTTCAGTGAAGCTTAAAGAATGACAGCAAGTTTCTTATCTTTCTCTTCTCTCCTCAATAAAATACAAGACAGAAAAGACTGTTGGTATAGTAAATGTTGATTTATATCAAAGTAAATGATTAGAAGATAACTTCCTTCCCACTAGAGGAAATATAGAGAAAAGTGTTAACAATTAAAAGCTTTGTTTGCCTCCCCATTATGTAGTAACATGTATGAATGACACACCTCTGTTACTGCAGATTTTGCCATCTGGAGATGTGCATCTTCGCTTGCTTTCCCAGGGGGTGATATCGCACTGGAATTCACATTTATCTCCATGCCAACCAGGCTTGCAGTAGCAGTTTCCACAGTAACACTTCCCATGGCCTTTACCCAAAATGAATTTTATACAGTGAGGAAAAAAGCAACTTTCACAAGCAGAATTAACTTTCTATCTCTTTGTGATCATTTTTGCCTTCTGAAATAATGTCAAAGCTCTATATTCCTTGCCTAAAATAATCAAATCATACAGCTTTCTCCAAACACATCATGGTTGTGCTTATACCTGCTTAATTATACAAAAAGAGCAAAGTGCCCTTTAACTTGGCCTAGCCAGGGAGCTGATTAAAAGTATTTTTAAAGAAATGACATAAATGACCATGAGAGTCTATTACTTTTCCATCTCAAATGCATGCATTGAACCCAAATAGATGTGAGCATTCACTTTAAGGACATTTCTTGAATTTGTTATGAAAATATTTCATTTGAAATCAACTATTGAGAAACTAGTGGTGCATATTTACTGAGATACACATTATGAATGGTCAAACAACTCTTTAAAGCAGAAGAAATATTTCATCTTTTCCCTCAACTCTCAACTGTGTCTCACAAGCTATTGTGTTCCACCATGTGAAAGAGACAGGTTTTCAGCCTAGTCCATGTTGAACCATCATTTAGACAAATAAAACACCATGGGCCCTTGGCTTCACAATCAAATTCCCAATCTACTTGTCAAGAGGATACAAATGACAAGTAAGGACATTCATCATTTTGTGTCCGGATACTCTCCTTTCAGCTCCCATCTCTGTGTAACCTGTTACCTGCTCATCTGCACTTGCCTCCAAGCCATCTGTAGTAAATTCTCATATCAATGCTTTCCTCATCCATGTCTAGCAATCCTTCTGCAAATTCCCCAAAGATGGTGTTTATCCCAAAATATCATCTTTGTAGTTATATCACCTAAGCATAAATGTATGTCCTTGCTCTTGTTTTGTTTTTAGTTTATTCTCTCTGTTACAGGAGTTTGTGTTTTACCAGTCTACGGCTAAAGTCTTTTGTTCTTTCCATCTCTCTTCTCTTAAAGCCAAATCCCCAAAAGACTATACAAAACTGATTATGAGACTACTTTTCATTATCTTCAAAGCATATTTATCATTCTAACACTGTGGTATCTCTCGCCATGGGCAAGAACATTATTAGGACCTGTAAAACTCACATAAGAAGCAGGAAATACAACAGAATATTCTGGTCTCCTATGCTATTCATGTCCAGGAGATGAGATTTCCATCAAGAAGGCATACCTCCAAGAGACAGAGACAGAGAGATGAACAATGAACAGAAAGAATGCTATAGTGAGACAGAGAGAAAGAGACAGGGACCCAACGCCATGATTTTTGCCTAAATAAGTTATAATTGGGATATTCAAAGAAAATCGTTTTTTAACTTAACAGTCAATGACCATTTCCACAATGAATTTAAATTTTAAATTTGTTTACTTAAGCAAATACAAAGGCGGCCAAGTGATTTAATTAGTGATTTAATCTATATATTTTATTGTTGAACTTAAAATGGTGTCTACTTGCAGACACAATTAAATCACATCCTGGTGATATATCACAGGCCTCAAGAACTCAATGATTACACTGAGAAAAAAAGCAATAATGTATACTGATTGCTTTCTTTAGGAGTCATGTTTGTAAAACTCAGTCACCTTTTTAGATTACAGGATTTATCTTCTCTGTAATTTCAGAAAATTTATACAGAAGGTGCTACATATGTAAGGATTACTATATTAAGAAATGATCAAAAATCTGTATTTCTCACATCCAAATTCTTTAAATATTTATACAATTCAGTATTGAATTAGAGTTTTACTAAGAAACTTTTGAGTTAGAGGTAAATAAGGAAGCAAAAATTATGTAACAATACACCTGTATGCAGATATGGAAAATTAAACAGATATCCACGTAACTCAAACAAAAATATTGAACAAGACACATCTGAATAATTGAGATTAAAATGTGTGCTTTAGGACAATACACATTCCAGATAATAAACATAATTCTTTGCTTTGTGCAAACTGATAGAGCAAGAAAATCTCTATTTGTCCTGCTTCACTGATGAACTGAAGCATCTCTCAGCAGATTGGTTTCATGTGGATGACACATGGAAAGATTTACAATCCCAGGCAATGTCACCCCCAGAGGGTGTTTACTGGAGTGCTGGTGTCCTTGGTCAGAGACTTTGCACCATGAAATTGCTTAAGCCTCAAACAAATGGAAATAACAGCTAGAAAGGTTGAAAGTTAAACAGTTTCTGTTGTGTTGTTTCAAGTTACGTTTTTCTATTTATACATGCAAATAGACTCTGCTTTGTTGGTGTCTAAACCACAGACTGACCCTAAAGTATGTTCCCTTCCTTTTTCCCTTCATCTGTAATAATTGGAAACTAAACATCTAGAGGACAAATACACAATATCTGTGGATGAATTTGTCTAACTGATCTAATTATTTTTGGACTGAGCCCTTTAGGAGAGAATTGTCTGAGCAGCATCTAGCTTAGGTCATTGACTTGGAAAAATGAAAATAAGATTTAGGTGTTTGTTTTATCCAGGTGGGTTGTGCAGCCAGGAGACCAAGGAGGAAGGGCCAACCAGGCCTAAAATTAATATATTCGGATGACTCAGAGGAATTGAAGCTACAGAGATGTAAACAAAGGGAAAAGCTTGTCATATGCTAGCCATACTTTCTCAGGGTCTCTGGTTCCACCTGGCCCCATCGGGTTCTAATTCTTCCAGAAAAACAATACTTCCAAAACTACCATTTCTGCATGCAGAGCAGTATTCCATTAACTGGAATCCCATCAGATAGGAGTGATATATAAGTTTAATCATAGCAGAGAAGAATTTACCTAAACCGAGTGATTCTCACTACTTTCTACTTTCATTTTCCTATGCCAGTCAAGGTTGCAAATGGAAACTCCAGGCATAGGCTTGCAGGTTGGTGAGCAGAAGAGATGAAAACTTCAAATGTTGAGGAGAGACTCCTCTTGTGGAGCTCTGAGCTCCAAGGCACTGATGCAGTCGTGAGTGGTGAAGCATTAGAAACATAGACTTTGGTGTCACATAGACATGAGCCTAAATTCTATCTTATCCTAGAGTGATACTATGAGGCAAAATATAATGAATGTAAAGCAATTATTGCAGAATTTGTCACCAGCACATATGCAAGAACTGGTACAACAGAAAAATGAATGGAGTAAAGGTGACACTAGAAAAGGAAAATGTTATCTAAATATGTAGGGACAGAGATGGGGAGGTAAACTCTAGGCTGATAATACTATTGACCTTCAATGTCCCCAGTAGGACATGAGACTATCGAAAGGTTCATGTTTTAGAAAGGGAAAAAGAAAGAAATGAAAATATACACTTAAGAGAAAAGGAGAAAGGAGAATAAAAGTGGCTAAGGTGAGCAGGGGAGATGGTATTCCACCAGGACTACGGCAGAGCTATGCAGTTGGCCTCCTGCCAGAATGACACAGCTCTCCTCTGAGGATAATTTGGCTTTGCATTTTAAAAGTACTAGTCTACCCTTAAGGCCACAGTCTCACCTTCCTTACGTGAAATATTTTCCAGATAAACATAGGTTTAAATTGAATTAGTACATCTAGCATAGAAATTGATGTATAGATGGAAGAACAATGAAATAGGTGAAAAACCAGATACTTTTATTAATTTCTAGAGTCAATATACATACCTCCACATATTTCTTCTGTTTCATCGTCTATGCATTCTCTATCATCACACTCGCAAAATTTGCCATATACAAGTCCACTTCCATCTGAATTATCACACTTACACCTGCCACAGTGACATGTACCTAAATTATTAAAACAAAAGAGATTGTTTGTTACATGCATATAAAATTATAATTAATGAATTTTTATACCATCTCTAATATTTCGATTAGGTATTTCTGTGTGCATGATGAGGTAAAGCACATGCTATTCTTTCTTGAGGCTATTTTAGCATTGCAATTGTATTTTGTATCACACAGCTATTATTACTGACCTCTAATCATTTACTGAAGGTAAATTTGACCACTCCTAGTACAGAGCTACTTTACACATAGCTGTCCAACCAGCGCACGAATGTCTTCTGATCACACTTGGATCTGATGTAAAATAAAGCAGGAAAATTTAAGCTTTGGAAGGGAAGAAATCTTGCTTATATGCCTCGCCAGTATTTATTCAATGCTTTGTACAATGTTTGAACACGCTATTTATGTAATAAATATTTATGGAAATAATTTATTGTCAAATGCATAAGTAAAAATCATATATGCCCCTGATAATTTCCCCTCCTCAGCATTAACTTATACTGATACACGTGTCTTTACAATAATGGGACCAGAGTGGATTGCCTTAGGCATGGATTCCTGGGACCTTACCAGATTCTCAGGGGAACTCAGAATTAGAAAGGTACTGTAGTCATCTGGTCTACTACAAGCCACATCTTCATCCAAGTCTGAAGATTCTACTGCATCCCCCATCAATAACTTCACCAATATTAATATCATATTCAAGTAATATTGAGAGGTAGAATGCCCACTTGAGAAACTTTCTTTTTCATGTACATATGTTGAGTCTTAATGTTCATCATAGCCATCAACATGTCTCAGCTGAGACTTGATCACCACGAGAAACCACCCTGGACTCTGAAAATCCAACAGGGATGACATCAGCCATAACCTTCCTCTCAGAGATTTATATGAGTAAAAACCAATGTGATAAAATGAATACAGAAGTGCAAAGTGTTGCAGAAGCACATAGCAAGGGGATTTAACCGAGACCAGGAGGTCAAAGTCAGAATCCCTGAGGAAGTGGCTGAGAACTGAAAGCCAAGTGAAAAAGCACAGCTAAGAGAAGTGAGATGACGAAGAGGCTCACTTCCACCACGAGACAATAGACAGGCTCAGTGAGAAAAGAGGAGGTGAAGAAAAAACATCACACGGGATTGAGGTATACAGAACAGCCTGAAAAGTGGCATGAAGTGAAGAAAGCAACTCAAGGTGCAGTTCATGGAAGTCTTACGGGTCATGTTAAAGATTTCCAGCTTTAATCTGACAATAATTGGAAGACACAGAAGCAATGGAGTCCGGTGATCCGGTATGATTTTTTACCAAATTACTCTGGTTGTCATATGGAGAATGAACTGAAATGAGGCAAAAGTGGATACAAGGAAATAAGTTAAAAGGCTGTTAGATTTGTCTGCAGGAATGAAACCAGTAGCTAGACACATGAAGCGGTAAGTTTATAAAGAAACAAATACATTGGGGGATATTTTTAGGAGAAAGAGTAGAGGGCATTTGGTGACTGACTGTGTGTAAAGGGTGAAGGATGGGAAGGAACCAAAGATGCTGTTGATAGTTTGGTTTGAATTACTAGATATTGGCAAATCTATATGTGATGTATTAGAAAGAGCATGAACTTGTGACTAAGGTAGAGCTGTAGCTGAATTTAGAGGGTTTTTTGTTTTTGTTTTGTTGTTACTTTTTTTTACTTTTTGAGATGGAGTGTCACTCCCTCTATCACCCAGGCTAAAGTGCAGTGATGTGATCTCAGCTCACTGCAACCTCCACCTCCTGGGTTCAAGTGATTCTCCTGCCTCAGCCTCCTGAGTAGATGGAATTACAGATTCATGCCACCACGCCAGGCTAGTTTTGTTATTTTTGGTAGATATGGGGTTTCACCATGTTGGTAAGGCTGATCTCAAACTTCTGACCTTGTGATCTGCTTGCCTCAGCCTCCCAAAGTGCTGGGATTACAGGTGTGAGCCACCACACCTGGCCTCAGAGTTTTAATTCTCATAAGCTATGCATTTTTAAGGGTATTGCTTTCATTTCTAATTCCAAGATTCCTCATAAGCAAATAATCTCTGCTTCAAAGAACTGCTGCCAGGACTAAGTAATGAATATGTCCCCAGTCATGTTTCCAGAAGCACCGCTGAACCTAGTACATAGGACTTGAGAAGATTCAGGGTTCTTCCTCTTATCTTATTAAGATACAGAGTATATTAGTTGTATTTCCAAACATTTAATCCAGGAAATATATTTATGGATGCTGACAATATCCTTGTTTTCATATCCTCTGCATGATTCTGTTACCCAGATCACTTGCAACTCGCTATTATCTATAAATTTTTCTCTCACAGTTACATACGAATGGTGATTTTGCAGAACTTGAGTTTATTTTTCTACTTTTCAAATACTCATGAGAATTTTCCTGTTATTAAACTTAATTTCCTTGTATTTTTTTCCTAAAAGGTATCTCAATTCATAAAAGTAATTTGAAATCTAAGCTATAATTTATGCTATTGCTTCATATAGTTTTTGTTCTCTATCACCCTGCTTTTTCATTTTCACATTTAATCATTCTGTCTCCCAGCCACCCACATATCCAACCATTAAGCTTTCTTGTTATCTATCTATTATGTTATTGGCAAGGAACTAGGTGCTATAGAAAATAATGAGATGCTTAAAATTAAGTAAATCACAGAGCAGGAAAAAGAGACACCTTATCAATACATTTTGTATAGCATTTGCCACAAGTCTATTGCAAAAGCCTTTGTGTCATATGTTTTGTTTTATAAATACAAATATAAATCCATATAATATATATGTAGCCATATATAATATGGGCCTCTTATCTATAACATGAGAGCAGAAAGTCACTTGGTTAGGGCTGTGTATGGGGAAGTTTTTTCAGGAAAGATGGGAAGCAACAGCCTCTGCCTCTGAAATCTACAACTCCTCACTGCAGTCCCCCACAGGCAGCTCTCTCTCATCCACACATCTGAACCATTCCTGGCTGATGTGGGGAGTTTACAACAGCTCAGAGACTTCCTGTCTCACCCATCAAGCAGAATTCACAACTGAGCCTCCAAGACATGGCATATGGGCACCCAGGCAAAAGCTCCAGACTCCTGTGCTCATGCTATGACACATGGCTTCTCTCTCTTGGTTGCCAGTTAACTCAGCCTCTAGGATTGGTCTTCTGCCTTACACTAGATTATTTTAGCTCTGATTCTTCATAGTGCCCAATAGACCTGACTCTTTCTAGGATGACTGACCAGACATGTACGCCAGCCCACACCCCTGTGCAATGGTGCCAGGGCCTCATCCTGCTCTGCACATTGGACCTCACCCTTCTAGGTTTCCCACAAAGTTAGCTTCTGGAATGCCTTGGTCCCCAGCTCTATCTCATCCTGCCCTTCAGTCCCATTCCCCAATCCATGTAACTCCGCTTCGCCTTCTGATCCAAACTACTTCAGAAAACCACATTGTGATATGAAAGGGAAAGATTAGTAGAAAGACTCCATAGGCTATTGCAATTTGGAGGACGTGGTCCTGAACTTGGATGGTGGAAGTGAGTATTCAAATAAGACAGGTGAGAATGAGATTGCCAAAGTAAACATGAAAGGCTTAGATATTTATACGAGAGTAAATTAGATGGAAAAGATTAAATGTAACACTGAATATAAATGCATCTTTTGACCAATTGCATTTCAGGTAATTTATCTTGAATATACACCTCCAGAAATATAAAAATATGCTCACAACAGATCATTCTGTGAAGTATTATTTACAATCCAAAATATTGGCACCTGTCTAAATGATCAAACATAAGGGATAGATAGGATAAATTACATTGCATACATAGAATCCAGTCCTATGCTTTTGAAAAAATAACAAGAAGGATTTCTGTGAACTGATTTGGAGTGAATTACAGGAGATTATGTTGAGTGGTAAAAGCAGAGTAAAAAGAACACTTGGAATGCACGACTATTTTTGCAGGAAAAAATGAAAAATAGTACACAAATATATCTATTTACCTTTACACGAAAAGAAACACATGCACAAAGAAGGCAGAAAGCAAGAAAGTTGGTTATCTGAAAGACGAGGGTAAGCATGGTGCAAGATTTGATGAAGAGAGTGAGGATTCTCTCAATATGCTTTTCTGCATAGTTTTGACTTTTAGAAGTATGTTAGTGTTCTATATATTATATTAATACAGATGGGAAGGGATTATAAAACCTAAAATTGAAAGTGATCTGAAATAAATAAGCTAAATTTTATTTCAAATGAGTACCATCACCACACTGAAAGAGAAGAAAATAAAAGAAATCTGATAATTTACGAACACAGCATTTGACTACCTACCCCAATCTTGGGCATGACTAAGGTACAGTGAGAGTTGGGGAGTGGAAAGGGGTGGACTGCAAATCCTGATGTCCTTTGGTAGATTTGCTCTGTCTAGTGGTGTGTCTGCAGCACTTATAAAAGTAACTAGAGATGTAGTATAGGATTGAGCAAGTAAGTATATATGCTGGCTATATTGGGAGCCAGGGTTCTCACTGAGAAAATGGAACATGCAAATATGGAATGGAGAAAACAACAAGTGATTCTCTAAGGATGGACTGAAATTAGATGTATGATGTAAATCCATGATTTCTAAAATATGCATGCATGTATATGTGTTCATGCATATCTGTGTGCTGGTATGTGCATAGGTATTTGTGTATATATGCACAGGCATATATTTACTAGTATCAAAATAAATAAAAATGAAAATAAGGCCTAAAAATTCCCTGAGCAGACTAAGCCAGTTAGGTCTCATAATTGATCCTAACCTTACCTGATATGTAAAAATAAGTGAAACTTACCTTAAGTTATTTCTTGTAAATGTCTACATTGAAGAAAAACAGGACTTAAGCTCTACCAGCCAGAAGCAACCAACAAACTTAATGATTATATAACTAGGTAATTTCCAACAGGATAGATCAAATAAGGCAACTGTATAATGTTAACCAATCAACTATTTTTCTTTGCTTTCTTTTTCTATTCATCCTATAAAAGCCTCCCACTCACATTCCCTCAGTGAAGCTCCTGAACCACTTCTGATTTGGAGCTGCCTGATTCATGAATCATTGTTTGCTCAGATAAAATAAAAATCGTACTATGCTTCAATCTACCTTTTTGACACAAGCCTGTTTGCAGAAAGGCCCAAGAAGCAAATACACTTCAGTGGAAATAAGCATCCCTAGTGCTCACAATTTTTATTCAAATATCATTTTCACTAACAGGAATCAGGGCTCTTTGGATAAGTGGCTGATTTCAAAGGTGCAGTGAAGGTCCAGTATGACCCTGGAATATGTTATTGTGCCCAAAAGGAAAAAATTGCAAAAACAAAACAAATAAACAAGGGAGGCATGTCACAATAACACAAAAGCTAGCCTGATGGGCTCTAATACCTAATCTGAAAGACTCTGTGCACCAGAATAATTATGTACAGAAATGAATAACAAATCACTGAAATAAGAATTGTGCTTCTAGATGATAATAAATCAATAAGTAGATGAAATAGCAAATAACTGGTAAATGAGAGCTAATTCCTGTTTGTGATGGAAAGCTGAGTGCCAACTAGTCAATTTGGAGAGAATGTTAAAGTTCATAAATCATCATTTTCTAATCATCATTGTCAATACTGCGTTAGGTGATTGTCATTAACGGATGATAAATCTAGGGTAATTTTAGTGAGGAATCTGATACATGTGTGGTTTTAAAGTGTTTCCTCATCAAATGCACATTTGTGAATAGGGTAAGTGAGAAATAACACAGCGGAGACACCAGACAACACCTTGACCAGCTCATCAAAACTGACATCACCAATATGAGCAGATGGACATCATGTGCTTCCAAATGGAATATTTCAAGAACACAAAACCATTTCTCTAGAGTTTTACCTAAAAATGTGTATTATGAATCGAATCATGGGGAGGCATCAGACAAATCCAAAATAAGTCACTTTTCTTTTTAATAAAATGGTGACAATTTCCTTCACAAGTTTCAATGCTCTAAAGCCAAAGTCTGTGGAAATGGTCCAGAATAAAGAAGACTGAAGAGAGATGTAAACTTAACATTTTCCAAAGACTGGATCCTGTAAGGAGAGGAAAGTGCTATGGAGGACATTATTGGGTCACTTGACTAAGCCAGATTATGAATGACAGATTACATAAAGGTATTGCATCCATGCTTAAAAAATGATAGAGTACAGATGTCCTAGAAAAATCAAATATGTTTTGTCATCTATGGAAACACTTCTGTACGTTTTATCCTTTGAGATATGTCAATGTAATGAATTACATGCTTAGATTCCTTAATATTAAACATCTTTACCACATTTGATTTTAATGTTCTTTAAAAAAAAACCCTGGATTAGCAAACAATAAATAAGTACATCCCCAAATAGATTTCAAACCTAAGACAGAATTCAAATCTTGTTACTGAAATATATGTTTGAAAAGAATGATTTTTTTTCAAGATGAAAGAGACTATGGGGTGTGTGTGTGTGTGTGTGTGTGTGTGTGTGTGTGTTTGTAGGGGTGGGTGTTATGAATTAGAAATAGAGAAATCCTACTAAGAAGAAAGACTGAAGTGCTGGAGAAATATGAGAACACCATAACACCATGAACACAGAAAGAAACCTAACTGCTAAGACCGTTTCTCAGGATCGCTGACTGATCCACTCACACCTCGCTTTGGATACAGTCCTGCCTCCATCAGCAAAACACCTTTACTGAGCTGAGTCTAAACCATGCACTTTGTTGAAATCAGACTGTGGGAAATTCCCAGCACTGGTTAGAGATGGGCCCTACCAGCAATGTGAGCTTCAAGAGGAAAGATACTCATTCATGTAGTCAAATGCTCACCTGTAGCATTTAGAGCAATGGGTCACACACTCGATCAATATTAAAATCACTCAGAGAGCTTTGAAAAAACCCACAAAAGTCTAGGCCACACATCAAAACAATTGAAACAGAACCTCTGGTGTACTACATGAGAACTGACATTTTATTACATTCCCCTTGGGATGCTAATGTTTAACCATGGTTGAGAAGCTTCATGTGCTCAAATGTAAAAAGAATATTTAATCATAGTAACACTCACTAAATACCATTGAAACCTAAACTCCAACTTTTTTATATGACTTTGCTACTCAATTTTAACAGCATCTCTATAATTTGGAAAAAATGTTTTCAAATAACTTCAATGAAACAAAAAAAATATTTTGATCCAACAAAAATCTTGCTGTGACTATATCCTTCAATGAGCTCTATAACCAGTATATCTGAAACTTCTATCAAATTTAAAATATTTCATTCTATTTTGTGAAGGTAAAAATTCAAAGCACCCTTGATCTGTAACAGAAAATAATTAAGTCAGTTTATATAAATCCTTTTTAAGAGATTTAATCCAGTATTCGAAATCATGGCTCACAATTTATATTAAACATTTTTGGGGGGTTATTTCCAATGAACATCCTGCTGGAAGGAGGCACTTGGAACAGCTGGAAAGTATTAAACTTGCTAGTCTCAGCAAGATAGCATTTTTTTCTATTGATTTATCTGAATTTCACTTCTAAAATATATGTTCAAAAGTAGACTCTCTCAGAGGTTTGACATTTTTCCATGCCCACATATTTCCATTAAGAACAAAATTTGATTATTTCACTTAAGAATTTTCACAAAGTATTCAAAACACAATGCATACAGGAAAAAAAAGAAGAAGAAAAGAATTTTCACAGGGTATACTTCTTACCTGCATTAGAGCAGATGACGTCTTGTGAATTCTTGCACATTTGATTACTTTTCTTCTTTGTCAGGTCACAATTAGTTGGGTACTGGCAAGCGTCCCCATACCATCCCTGGTCACATTTGCACTTGCCACAGTTACACTTACCATGGCCTGGGGATTGAACAACATCTAGTCAGACTCGAATTGTTTTCCAAAGATAACCATTATTGTAACACATACTCTTAACAGTGACACTGATTTGGGACTGAGCTATAATAAATTTAAACTCATGTATGTCACAGTGGCTGAGGGGTAATGCTGTTATATACAATGCAATGGAATATAAGAACTTCATTTCAATAATCAACTGATAAATGATTATAAAAACATTAATTTCTAAAGACATTAGCATAATACATAAAAATCCTAACAAATCACATAGTCATAAAATTCAGCACTGAAAAAATATTCTATCCAGCTTCTCAGTATTTAAGAGACAAAAGTCCAGTAAAAAATATTTCTACTTAGCTATATCTTATATAACACATTAAAACACAAACTTTGAGTAAGGGCTCTTACATGAAACTCTCCTAAACTAAACACCAGCCTTATAGTTACTCAAATTAAGCATGTACTTAAAGTCATGGACATATTAAATAGCAACTTCAGTAATATTGATATAAAATATGTATCTATTTTGTTTCCTATTCATCCGCCTTCACAGAAATTTCTGAATCTTTCATATTCTCGATAGTCATTTTGCTTTAATGCATGTTGTTTTCATTGCTGTGATCAGTAATGTTAGTAAGTCCTGCTTAATGAAGCCTACTAACATTTTTATTGATTGCACATTAGTCTGACAGAAGTGCAGACCATGTGCAGCACTTGGTCCTTGTCCTCAAAGAACTTACAGACTTCAAAGTCAAGCTTAATAAAGAAGCTGATGTGATTATCAGCCAGAAGTGATTGTCACCTCGAGTTAAGTTGAGCAATATAGTCTATGACCTATAGACATAAGAGCAGGGACCCTCTGGACTTCCTTGACTGTTAACTGGCCCTTGAAAATTGAATAGATTTTGAATGGGTTGCAGAAGAATAACCAGAGAAGAACTATGTCTTAATGCCTGAAAGTCATAGGCCACATGGAATGAAATTGATCTGATTCAACATGGTAGCTGAACTCTAAGGGATGAGGTCCAGATGGTTGGTCAGTATGAATGGCTTGGAGGCTGCCCATTTGGGCATGGTCAGCAGAGCCTGAATCTGTGACTAGCTGTGATTTTAAAATTGCTCTTTATGTGGTCCAGTCCATAAAAGTTTGTTTCTATTTGTGTTGCATTTATAAAATTAATTATTCTATGTTATAAACAAAACTTTGCAAGTATCTTAATTGGAATTCATTCCATTCAGTGCACATTACTCTGTCAAATTGATTGCATCATTTTGCATTCCTGCCTGGCCCTACAAGATACTGTCAATCTTTACCAACTTGGTATCGTTTATCAGCATAAGTGATCTCTCCTGTCAACCATGTAGCCTATTTATAAAAGCATTAAGCCAGATTCTTGCGTCGGCTAAGGCTCTTTGATAAATCAACCATCGTGGAAACTGTGTTGACTCTTTAACAACAGCAGTGCATTAGGTTGAAGCTTATGAAATTGCCACTTTCATAAGTTGAATATCAGCTATTTCTTATGGTTCCACCCCAATAAATAGGCTTCATATCGATGGTAAAGAAAGTAGAAATGATTTAGAAATAAAGCATTATGGTAGTGGTAATCTGGTGAATCAAGAATAAAAGACTACTCAGTGTGATTTTTAAAATTTTACATTGAATAGGACATCCTAAAGTATACACAGTAGAGATGGGAAATAATTTATAGGTCAAAGGTAACATTTTTTTTTTAAAGGCAAGAGGCTTAAAAATAGAAGAATGGCTGAAAATAAACAAAATGTATACAGAATAGGTAGAGACCCATCCCTTCCAAACTGGCCCAATGAAGCATCAGTAGAAGGAATATTCTAAGTTGCTTCTCCCCTGAAGTGAGAGGCTCAGTTTCATGAAACTGTCTTCACAGAAGATTCTAGGTTAAAATAAACATAGAAAAGAGTCTGCTATATTCTGTTTAAATGTGTCATGATATATATCAGCACACTGATGAACCTCATATGTCCTACCATAAAAATATTTTTAATTTTATTTAGCTTGGAATTAGGAAAATTTTGGCTAGGAAGCCCCTTTTCTCATAACCAGTGTTAGCATCTTGGGCACATGCTTAGACTAACACTGTGTCAAGTGTTTTCAGCTCCTTCTTTAGCAACCTTTGGAAGGCAAAGATGACAGCTAATATCAGACAGGGTCATCTGCCTTTTCTTCTTTCTAAGTTTTATGCCTCGTAAAGATTCCATGATTCATTTTCTTCCCTTTAGGAAAACTCATTGAATAGGAATTGATTTCTGACTGTCATGAATTATCAAATAGCCTGTGTAACCTTGTTTAAAGATAAATATAGATTTAAAAAATAATATTCAGACTATTTTTTACAATTTTTTTAACGTTAGTAAGAGCTTTAGCAGACCACGGGGGATTAGGTTGCTATATTATTGTAGCAAGATAATCTCCATTACAGTGTCAATAATATGGCTTCAAAAAATACCCATTTTTCAAAATAGAAGAATGTTAGTTGTTATATGTTAGTTTCCTGAATCTTCCATAATAAAGTATCACAAATTTGGTGGCTTAAAACACCAGAAATTTATTCCCTCACAGAGATGAAGGTTGGAACGTGAAATCAGGTTGGTTCGTTCTAGAGGACCTGAGGGAGAAACTGTTGGGTGTCTCTCTCTCAGTTACTGGTGGTTGCAGGTAACCTCTGGCATTTCTTGGCTTTGTGGGAGCATAACTCTGATCTGATGATACTGAATACCTTTCATAAGCTTATTTGCAAGACATCTATCTTCTTTCCCCAATTTTGCATTGAAATTTCAGTTATATATATATGTATATGTATATCTATATAACATATATAATTATATATATACCCATACATATATACATATATTTCTATATATAATATATATGTTTATAAATTTATATATACATATATGTGTATGTTCATCCTGGATGCAAGTTCATTATCATATATATGTATATATAAAAACATATATGTATATCAATATATATATATATACACACATGTATGCATATCCAGGATAATTATATATGTATATAAATTGTTATATGTACATATATATGTATGGATACATATATATGTAAATAAATTGTTATATATACATATGTATGTACGTATATCCTGGATAGAAGCTCATTGTCACAAATGTAATTGGCAAATATGTCTCCCAATTTGTGATGTGTTTTTTTTCTATTAACAGTATCTTTTGAAGAGTAAATGGTTTTGACTTAATTAAATCAAATTTATCATGTTTTTTCTTTAATCATTGTTTTTGTGGCATCTACCTGAAAAACCTTTGCCTAACTCCAGGCTTATTCTTTTGCTACTAACACAGTTTTAATTACTGTGATTTACAGTAAGTGTGGAAATCAAGTCTTCTGAGAACTCTAGCTTTGTTGTTTTTAAAAATTATTTTGGCTTTTCTAGGTCCTATAATTTTCTATATAAAGTTTAGAATCAGTATGTTCACATCTGTAAAGAAGCTTGCACAGATTTTCATAGGGATTGCATTGAATCTATAGATAAAAGTAGAGAGAACTGCTATCTTAACGATATTTAGTCTGTGAATATATTGGTTGATTTTTTTAATGTTGTACCAGCCTTGTGTCTTGAGACATACCTCATTTCATTGTTAAGTATTCTACTTTTATGCATTTCTTTATATATTGGATTCCATTTGCTAATATTCTATTAAAGATTTGGTGGTCTAAGTTTGTAAGTAATATTGGTGTGTAGTTTTGTTTATTGTAAGGTATTTGTCTAATTTTAGTATAAGAAAAATGTTGGCCTAATGAAATGATTTGAAATGCATTCTCTAATCTCCTTGTTTTTGGAAGAGGTTGTATAGAATCAGTACTATTTTATCCTTAATAGTTTGGTAGAATTTGCAAGTAAAATCATTAGAACCTAGAATATTCCCTTTTACAAATGTTTATGATTCACTTTGCTTGACCAATATTGGGCTATTCAAGTTATTTATTTTTTATTGAATTTGGCAGATCATGTCTTTCAAGGAATTGACCCATTTTATTTAAGTTCCTGAACTTACAGGCATAGACTTGCCAGTATCATAAGCTTACTATCTTTTTAACATGCATATTGTTGGATATTATGTATGTTATTTCATGCTGATGCTGGTAACATTTGTATGTCCTATATTTTTCTTGATTGATCTCCTTAAAAATAAACCAATTTTATTGTTATTTTCAAATAGTCAGCTTTTGGTCTTGTTAATTTTCTTTCTTGTTTTTCTCTTTTCAGTTTCACTAATTTTTTCTCTAATCTTCATTATTTTCTTCCTTTTGGATTTAAGTAGGTCTTCTTGTTCTATTTTCTAGAGTAGAAGTATGAATTAATTTTAAACACTTATTCTGTTCTTATGTCAACATTTAATTCTATATATTTTTCTCCCAGTACCATGTTAGCTGCTTTCCACAAATTTTTGATACATTATACTTTTATTTGCATTCAGTTCTAGTACTTTTAACAGCCCTTGAGATTTCTATTGACCTACAGGTTATGGAGAAGTGTGTTGTTCAATTTTTTTCAGCTGTTTCTGTGATTTCTGGTTTGATCACATTATTATTTGATAATACAGTTTCTTTGAAAATTCTGAAGGCTTATATTATGACCCAGAAGATGATCTACCTTGTTTAATTTTCCTTGTGCATTTTAAAAGAATCTATCTTCTGCTGCTCTATAAATGTCAATTTGGTCAAGCTGGTAATAGTTCTGTTCGTTTTCTGTATCTTCACGAATTTTCTATATACTTGTTCTTTCAACTATGAGGAAGAAGTATTGATATCAACTACAACTGCAGATTTTTTTTCTTTCAGTCTGTCATTTTCAAAATTTATGTATTTTGAAATGCTTTATTAAGTGTATATATGTTTAGCTTTTTAAACTTAGGACATAATTACCACTTTTTCACTGTGTAATATCTCTCTTTATCCTGGGTATTATTTCTTGTCCTAAAGC